AAAATACACTTAATTTTTTGTAATTCAATTTTCTATGCGATTTAAGTTTGATTCAAATTGCTTAAAACAATATGAATCATTATTTTCAAATAAATCAGGTCGATTAACTTTTTGTTTATAAAATTATGTCATTGAGAAGAGCTATTTTATGTATTGTATATGTTGAATCATTTTGATATATTGTTATTGTGATATAATCTAAATATATGATTCAATTCAAAATATGCATTTTTTTTAAAGACAGAAATAAAGTGAACCGTATATACAGAAGGGACAAGTTTTAAATCCAAATTGTGCTGAAGTTTCAGCTATATTGAATCTCGTTTATATGGCGATACAATATTTCATTTTCTAGCGGTGTTCGTTACAGCCAACTTTTGTTATATTTATTAACTACACATGTGACTCACTCTTAATAAAGTAGTCACACAATAATATATATTAAATTTACTATAAAAGATCCGTTACATATATAAGAGTTTTTTTTGTTATATATGTATATATATATGACAAAAAAATCTCTTCGAGGTCTCGTCATAACGACTTGCGGATACATGTACATTGTAAAGATAGAAATGATATCATGTCTTCTATTTCATAATGCATATGTTATAATACAAAATTATGGATGGAATCATATTTTTCTATCTAACAGAGACAGAAAATATATGTTCATATACGTACAATGACATTTATGGTCAAAATTCGAAGATCAAGTGTCATAGTAGAATACACACTGGAAGAAAATAAATAATTTTATATAAAATATTGTAAAGAGAGAAGGAGTATATACAGGGTAGCCCCGAACGTTCCAGCCAGACTTTGAGATCTTATAGGAAATTTAATTCTGAACATCAGAGGTTTTTAAGCGATAACTTCTTAAGAAAGCATTTTTCGACCCATGTTTATAGGAAATTTTTTGTTCAGAATTAAATTTCCTATAAGATCTCAAAGTCTGGCTGGAACGTTCGGGGCCACCCTATATAAGAGATAAAGGAAGGGGGGTGGGGAGTGTTGGAAAAATAAATAAATAAATGTGAAAATATAATAGAATGATATTCTTTATGGAATTTGAAAATAATTTTGTTTATCAAATTCTCGATTAAGAACACTGCCACATTATCATTTTTTCTGAAAGTTTATATACGCAGAACACCACGAACAGGAAATATTTAAAAAATTATAGATTTTTTAAAAGTTAATATCAATGTTTTTAAAAACTAAAAATAACTCCAAGAAAATAAATATCTTTAAATTAAAGATAAACTAAGATATAAACTTTTATTATAAATTTTTATTATATATTTAAGATTCATGAAAACATAATATAAGTGAACAATATAGATTTAAGTAGTTAATTTCAAATAGACTTTACCTCTCAGCAAAATTTTGAAATTATAACACTTAATCACAACAACATTTAATATTGAAAAATGAGCTCTCGGTTGTGACAAGTTAACTCGTATAATTTTTACTAAAAGTTGGTTTTAAAGCATGTATGTGTCTTTCAAATACTTTCCAGTATGTTGGTATTCTGTATACTATAATCTGTCTTTATATCGATTACATCTGTTATTATGTCAGCTTCAAATTAACCCATTAAAGTCCAGTTGCAATTTTAATTAATGTAGAGTTTGTTCATTTGCTATTGCATAAAAAGATAGCAATTACTCTCATATTTATCTTTTAGTCTTTTAAAAATCTTTGTAACTTTTATATATATTTCAAAGTATATTTTAAATTATATTGTATGTAAGTCGAAATAAGAAACTTTTATTCAGAATTTTTGCAGTATAACCATGGACTTGAATGAGTTAAAATCTTTCAGATTTGTTAAACATCTATCATAATTTTCTGCGCGCGTTTAATTGTATATTTATATTTGAATACCCATAAAATACAGTATATACGCATCTATATGCATATATGTATATATGCATGTATTATAAACTATATCTACATATATATGCATACATGCCATTTATTTACATAAATTTGAAAAGACGATACTATACGTGCTTCTATCTTTTTTCTTTTGAAAAAAAGCGAAAACTTTGAATTCAATTATACATGCATATTGAATAATATCTTACAATCATAGATCTATGTTATATTTGCATGAATAAGATACACTTTTTTATATAATTTGACTTTGTATACAATAATACTATCATTAATAATATCGTAAAATTCACCAATTTTGATCCTTTTATCTATATTCAATCTACGTCGTGTATCCGCACTTCGTATACATTTACACGAAGATATTGCTGCATGATTAATAAGCGATAATAAGATCGATAATGAAGATCCTATTAATACAATCTCTTCTGTTGCCTGTTATGTTTCTTCGAACAAAACGATGAAAAATTTATCAATTATTACTTAGGGTGGTCACAGTATTGGCGATAAAAGTGGTCGCATAGTTATTTTTCGTGAACCCTGGATTCAATTTTCCATCGATAAAAATTTCAAGGAAAATTATTACTTGCTGTTTCGTCATATTTACTAAGAAAATAATCGACATCATATTTTTTATAAGAAATTATACTACATGTTCATTTCTTTTTGCCAACACCGGGCTATATTTTATATATTTGATCTTATATTAATCATTGCACAGAATAATCTTCCTATTTTATACAAAGTAATATGTATATATATATATATAATTGAATTTAACAATAGCACATTATAAATTATTCTACTTTGACTAGCTTTATGCATCACTAGACTTCACTCAAAATTCGTTTATATAAGAAAACTCGCAAAGCTTAGATCGATCTCTTGTTATATATTATGTGCAGAGAAGTAAAATAGAAAAATGTTTAAATGTTTGCCATGATTATGTCTTGCTTGACCGATTATTTCTTTCTTTATACATTACTGTGGTATTCTGTACTATCTTGAAATGTGTATGCATACATATACACATATTATATATGTAATATAAATATAAATATATACACACACATACATACATACATATACATATGTATATATACATATGTGTGCGCGTATGAATATACACATGCACGCACACGCACGTATTATATTATATTATACGCTGCTAAAGGAACTTGTGTTTGGTATGTTGTTTGGTACAAACATTATTTGAAAGTTCCTATTTAAAATGTTTTTGACACGCACACACATCCTTTCAATTTTTGCCTATACGTATATGTGTTTATATGTGCAATATTTTCCAAATTTTCTCTGCATTTCTAATTTATAGATTTTTGACAAGTTTTTTAGCGAATACATTTTCCTTCATAAAAATTTTACGACGGTTTTTATTTTTAAGCTAAATAATTTAAAAAATCAAAGAATTTTTTTCGCGAATTTGCTTCCAGAATATTGAATATTCAAGATTTTTACTCGGATAATCGTTATGTTCAGTATAATTTAAATTTAAAGATTAAAAATATTTAAGATTATTATTATATTAATTACACACAACACACGCACACATGCATAGATATATATGTTTTGCGTGTATGTGTATGTGTAATTGCAGGGTTAGAAATAAAGCGTTACTTGTAACATTGTTTTACAGTTACTTTTTTTCGATAACTGTAACGATAACAGCATTACAAATTTCGTCTGTAACGAAACAAATAACTTTATTATATTTTTCGGTAACTAGAGTAACACATTCAAGAATTACTTTTATCATTATTTTTCAAATTTATGCGGCTGTGAGTTCTACGCCAACAAAGATATACTAAATTCTATTAAAAATTAATAAATAATTCAATAAAATTTAACGACTTTTATTTTAAACCAGATCATATAATTTTTATCAACTTTTGCACATGTTAAAAATTATTAAAACAATTTTTGAAACGGATTTTAAAATAAATTAAAAACGAATTTGACTCGTAAATTAGCGTATCATATTTGAAATTTGATCAGGATTTTGAAATTGCATAAAGTTAAAAGTATAACAAAAACCGATTGTAACTATATTCAATATACCAGCAGAAAAAAAAACTAAAAAAATACCTTTTTTTTTATTTACTTACAGAGTTTGTGGACATCTTAAGAAAAAAAAATTTTCTTACGATGTTTTTGAAATAAGTTTTTTCAAATAAAGATATTAATATTCAAAATTAGTGTATCAGAATTATTATATATTTTATATCGTTAACAATTTCCATATCGAAATTATATCAGTTTGTTGTTATATTTTAACATAAACAAAATGTTGTTTAACAAATGTAAATTTTATATATGTGTATATATATAATTTGGTCTTGTAATAGCATTAAAAGTAATGAAAATTGTAACTAGTTTTTTTAGTAATGGTAACGATGAGTTACTTTTTAAAATTAGTAACTTTTATAAAGTAACATTTTCAACGATGTATAATTAATATAATTTTATAGACAACTATATTAATTATATATAAAAATA